CACACACACACACACACACACACACACACACACACACACACACACACACACACACACAAACACACACACACACACGATGAGCAAAATCGAATGAATCTTCCGCTACAACATCGAAATATACACTACTAGCATACATGTCACTTGGTCCTGATGACTTATTTATGGAACAGGACATGCTACTTGGTACTGATAGTCTGATAGTCTGATAGTCTGATAACTTTTTTACGTGGTACCAGCGCCCAGGGGTCTTATATGGTGAATTGCTGTCTTGGGGGAAATCTGAAGTGGACCAAGTGGGATGTGAAAGACAAAATTACCAGCGTCGTTTCGCGGGATCGACAAATTTAGCAGTGGTATTTTGCATTATATTGACCATAGATAAAATTACAAGGGGTATTTTGAAGGATGGACAGAATTACCATGGTCATTTTGTGTGATAGACAAAGTTACCACATATATTTTTGTGTATTAGACACAAGTACCATGGGTACTTCCCAATGCTACCATTTTTGATATCTGTAAGACGGAAGTTTTGTCATTAACAATTTAACACAGCAAACAACCTCTTATGCATACTGTACGTGAGGATAGAGTAGTGACAATTCATAGACCGAATGACAGGTGTATGGTGCATAAAAGGGGTATGATGTGTAGCAGGGTATGGTACGTACTAGGGGTATGATGCGTACCCAGGGTATGGTGCGTAACAGGGGTATGGTGCATTTGTGCTCTTTTTTGGGTTGGTGTGGTGAATTTTGGCAACTCTAGACTCTGAATGGCAGGAGATACCCTTGCTAGCAGCGGTGTGGTGCTTAGCAGGGGTGTGGTGCGTAGCAGGGGTATGGTACCTACCAAGGGTATGATGTGTAGCAGGGGTAATGGTGAATTGTTCTTTTTTTTTTTTTTTTTTTTGAAAAGAGCTTGATTTCATATATATATATGAGCAAAAGGAGGCCGGGAATCGCTCCACGTCTCAACCCGGAGTACTGGGGCCAATTCCCAGCTTGGGCTTTTACTGGAAAACGGGTCCAGTGTCCCGTGCTTCGGGGATCCCCCCTAGCTAATCCTCCACCTAAGTTTCGAAGACGGCCCCACATTTTGGTGTGGGGCATTTTGCCAACTTAGGGCATTGTTAGACACTCCTCAGGGCATCCTCGGGCTCCGAGGATGAATCCTCGGAAAAGTTTAGGGTTTTTGTCGTCTTCGTTACACTCATCTTCGGAGCATTGGCTTAGGACTCATCCTCGGAGCAATGTCAGAAAAAAAAGGGAAAAAAAAAAAAAAAAAAGGTTGTGCTTCAGGCTTTCAGCAAATAGGGTGCCGCCACGATCCGAATTCTCGGTTGTAACGTCTCTCTACGTGCATGTCGTCTCCTCTCCATGTAACACGGCTCCTCGGGCCCCAAAGGACCTCGCGAGGTCCTTTGGAGCCGAGGAAGATTTGGCTGGGAAATCCTCGGAGTCCAAGGATTTGTCCTCGAAGTGTTTTCACATTTTCATTTCTGATTTCATCTCCGAGGACAGGTGGAACGAAGACGAAATCCTTGGAATCACGTCCCCGAGGAGTGTCTAACGAAGCCCTTATAGACTATGGTGCACATGGGGGCAACTGAAGCACACAAAAAAGAGCGGCTGGACATGGTCCACTCAGAAGTAATGTACTGCGGTTTTGTATTTTGGGGGGTATTTGGTTGTAGTTGCATGACTCATTTTTGCTCTTATCTTGTGGGACAATGGCTGATCCCCTCAGAGGTGATGTACATCACTACATGTGCTATTGTTTTCTATTTTTTTGGAGCTATTTGTTAGTAGACTAGTCTGACTACCGTCTTCACCCGAATAGAACGCCTGGTCATTATCTCTGTATTTAGACTGAAAGTTGCACCAAATACAGCTATAATGACCGGCCGTTCTAGATGATACTTGGAACTTTATTCCTGGAAATGCCCCAAGCACTCTTTGGTGTGTTGAAACTTGAATGAAATCCATGGCGACAATACAAAAAGCAATTCAGAAAATTCAAATCTTCCCTTGATCTTGCCACTTATTTGCCCTGACGTTCCTCGATTGCTATTGTCAGAATGTACCTGGATCAGGCTGGATGTGTAATTGGTGCAAGATATCTGAACATCATCCTAGTGCATTGTGGCTGTGGCATTGTTTAGCAATTCCTGCCAGCAGAAGTGGCATGACTATTCAAACTCTTGCTATTGATGGGGTGGGGGTGGGGGTGGGGGTGGGGGGGATATGATGCTAGTGATGGGGTGCTTGATACATTGAACAGATGAGAAAGAGTTTGAATAATCATCACCCCCGTCATCGACGATGCACATGCTGGGAGCGCTTGATATGTTGAACAGATGGAAAGGAGATGAGTGGTGTCTGTGGTAGACTTCTCACTGGATTCATTCTTTTGACAGCCTGCCTTTTTATGCAGGGAGTTCAGGAGAGGCTGGCAAGATGTTCTCAAGGCCTTACCACCTGGTGCCCCAGGGTGTGGTGGGAGACATCGCTTCGGTAGCGCTGCTGGCTTAGTCTTGCCCCCGTGTTCTTCAGTCCCAATACGCAATTCCTCAGCATATCTGCCACATGATGGTGAGTCAGACATGCCAAGTTATTTGGAGTTCTCCAAAGTTGTAGGTGTCAAAATGGTTGGAGAGTAAGCATAATGTAGGAGAAGTGGGTGCAATGTGAGGTGCGAAACAGCGCCAAAGGAATGTGTGTGTGTGTGTGTGTGTGTGTGTGTGTGTGTGTGTGTGTGTGTGTGTGTGTGTGTGTGTGTGTGTGTGTGTG